ATGCAAACAAAGTGAGCATCCAAATTTTCCATTAAATTGAGTTATATTTTATAAAGAACATCTGGCTACAGAATCTACTGGAGAGAAGATTACATGTACTTTAACATTTACAACTTCATTTAAATTAGATGGCAAACAGTTAAATCCGTGTTCATGTAAATCTCGTAACTCATCAACAAATGGTTTTAAGAAAATATCTAGAACAGGTTTTGTGGGTCCACACCATAAAGCAGCAAGAATAATATTATCTTTACGAACTTGATAAGGAAGTTCATTAATCGCTATTTAAATGGGACACATTGACATTTTTGATGATTTAAATGTATCAACACCATCAACATTCCATTGTAAAGTTATGTCAAAATTAGATACAACTTGATTTTTAACCAAATTTTGATTTTTTTGATTGATACACTTTTCCACTTGTAACGTCTGATAATATATTATTATCGTGCGCGCAAGTTCTTTGTAATTTATAAAAGACATTACTCGATAATAATTGGCGTAATTGTTCCTTAATTGGAATATATACAAAAAAATTTCCATTTCGTTTTAAAACTGATTTTATATTACGATATTGGCAATTTGGACAATCTATACTTTGTCTTCCTCCAAAGTTTAATGAAGAAAAACATTCTGTACAATAATAATATGTTACAAGTTGTGCGATATTAGGAAAATTTTTTAAAAATAAATATTTTGAAGGAATGAGTGGCTCAGGAAGATGGCAGTTAATTAAATTTATAAGATCTTCTAATGCAGTCTCATTTGCTCCATGCCGAATTATGTAACTCATTATAAGTATATCACTCTCTTCCTTTGTTAGAGGACAATTTGGATATATAGGTCTTCTAACCTGACAGTAATACTGTCGGAGCCCCGGTCACCTCCGGGCTCCCAGCGATCACGGGACTACCGCCGGAGCATTGCGTGCTCCGCCGAGCGGTACTCCTAACCAGAAATCAGGAGCGCGCCGCGTGACACAAGCGATCACGCGGCGCGCCCCACGAGAGACAGGGTTGCGTACCACGGCGACTCCGCGTGCCTGGAGACTCGCGTCGAATCACGGGAGGCCCTCGACGTGCGACCAATAAGATGAAGACAAGACCATGCACGTCGAGGGCGGACTCTCTCAACGTTTCGGGTTCTGGAGACCAGATTTCGAATACCCGACGCGTGGAACACGTCGTTTCTTGAGCACGAGATATTGTAAGCGAAAGTCGCGGAAAACGTAACACGACAGAACGAAGTGCTGTTAATAAAGTGACTGACTAAGCAAAGTTGACCAAAAGTCTGTTAAATCACCCACGCTCTCCTCTTCCAAACCCGCTCAGCGCTCCGTGCGGAGCGCGTACCGGCATTTCATTTCGCCAGCGAGTTCATCTACTGCTCGCTGCCGGAAAATTTGGTCCTTCGAGCCGGATTGAGAGGTAACGGAAAACCGAGGAAGACACGGCGAAATGTCCGATCTCGTTGAAAAGCAGCTGCAGACCCTCCTCCATACGCTCTCCCGAGCAAAGGACAATTTCAAGAAGCTTGGTAATAATAATCATACACCAGCGATCGTCCGCTCAAGAATCGCAACGCTCAAGGATACGTGGAGTCAAATCATCCAGTGCCACGCGGCTCTCATCCAGGCCTCTCCCACCAAGAAGGATGAGATGAGCAACACTCTGGATCTCAACGAGGACGTCTACAACGACACGCTGGACTATATGGCAGAAAGGTTGGAGTATCTGGATCCTAACGTAAGCCTAAATCAGTCCAATAGTTGTATCGCGGCCCACGAGAGTCCGTCATCGTTATCGTTGCGACACTTGCCGCCTCTCCAACTGCCGCCCTTCTCGGGTAAATTCGAGGAGACCTTTCGCGATTGTTTCACGGCCTTGATAATTCGAAACAAGGAGCTCTCCGATTTTACGAGAATGCATTTTCTGTCGTCGAGTCTAACCGATCGCGCGCGCGATGCAATCGCCAATCTAGCGGTCACAGCAGACAATTTTCAAGTAGCCTGGAGCGCCCTTACGTCGCGATTTGAAAATAAAAGTCGTTTGATCGAGGTTCACGTCGCAACTCTGTACAATCTTCCGACTATGTCGCGCGAATCAGCGTTCGACCTTCACGCGCTGCGAGATAAGGCCGAGAGGGCGAAATCGGCGCTGGAACGATTAAATAGATCGCAGGAAGACATGCTAAACGACATTCTAGTTTACTTCGTCGCGCAAAAACTCGATGCGGCTACGCGACGAGCGTGGAAACTTAAACTCGGCGAGAGCTCGCTCCCTCCGACTTATCCGGATCTCTTGCGTTTTCTTTCCGCACGCGCGCTCGCGCTCGAAGAGTTGACGCCCGGAAGCAGCTCCAAGCCGAGTAAGAGCAGTACTGTAACCAGCGCTACCGTAGCTACCACCGGCGACAAACCGTGTTCGCTATGCAAGCGACAGCATTATATAAATAAGTGCCCGCAATTTGTCAACAAGAGTGCGAGTCAGCGCCGCGACATAATCAAATCCGCGAAACGATGTCTAAATTGTTTAAGTCATCGGCACGAGATAGCAACGTGTCAAAGCAAGTACACCTGTCGAATATGTCAACAGCGACATCATACAATGCTGCACATTGACTCGCACTCGCCAGCGACGACGAAGGGCACGACGGCACCCGTCGAACAGCCATCAACCTCAAACTCCGTCGACGCTGCGTCTGTAGTCGCCCTAGCGTCGATTCCCGCGTCAGCGACGCCTTCGCCGGTATTACTAGCAACCGCGCAGGTCACACTGCGTTCCCCGTCGGGTCGCGCACTAGTCGTCAGAGCCTTGCTGGATCAAGGATCCGAGGTCACCTTTGTCACGGAACGAGTCGCGCAGATCTTGCGTCTCCGCCGCGTTCGAACGCGTACGTCAATCTCGACGGTGGGCGGCACCACCGCGGGCACGTGCCACCATGCAACATACGTCGAAATCGCTCCTCGCGACTGCTCCGGTCCGGCGTTTTCGACACTCGCATTCATCATGAAATCATTAACGAGATACCTCCCGAGGAGCGCTTCGATCGACTCGGAGTGGACGCATCTCTCAAGTCTCAAATTAGCCGATGCGAATCCCACTAGCGCCGAGCCCATCGATGTGCTGATCGGAGCAGATCTCTACAGCTCCATTATCCTCGATGGCGTCCGCAAGGGAGCAGCCCACCAACCGATAGCGCAGAACTCTCATCTAGGTTGGGTCCTCTCGGGGCCCACCGCGAATCCAAGCTCGCCTTACTCGCGAATTCAAGCTCACCATTGCTCGCTCGAACAGGACATACAAAAATTCTGGGAGATCGAGGAAGTGCCGCAGGCGAGCATCTTCTCTCCCGACGAGAGAAAGTATGAGGAGCACTTCGTGCGGACGCACTCCCGCGCTCCCGATGGGCGTTACGTCGTGCGACTACCATTCCGCGAGGGTCCCCCAATCGCGATCGGAAACTCGCTCTCGATTGCGGAACGAATGCTCTCGCACTTGAGACGTAAGCTAAACCAATGCCCCGATCTTAAACACGATTACGCGGAGTTTATGAGTGAATACGAGACTCTCGGACATATGAAACGCGCTCCGAGATCGACTTCCTCACAAACCGCTTACATTCCGCATCATTCGGTTATTCGGGAAACAAGCGCAACCACTCGCGTGCGCGTCGTGTTTAATGCGTTCTGTGAGACGTCGAACGGAACGTCATTGAACACTCACCTTCTCGCGGGCCCCAAGCTGCAAAAGGACCTCCTCGCGATTCTTCTAAAATGGCGCCAACACAAATACGTTTATACCGCCGACATTGCCAAAATGTACAGGCAAATTTTGGTTGACGAACGCGATATCAATTATCAAAGAATCCTATGGCTCGCGGAGGATGAGAGTAGAACGCAGGAGTATCAACTCCTCACGGTCACGTATGGCACTGCGTGCGCGCCATTCTTAGCGCTGCGCGTGTTGGAACAACTCGTGCTCGATGACGGAGATAAGTATCCACTCGCTGCTTCCATTTTGCGAGAGAATATTTATGTAGATGATGTTCTGTTCGGAGCAGAGGATATCCCTCTGCTGCGTCAAAGCCGAGACGAAGTCCGGGCTCTGTTAAAACGAGGCGGGTTCGAATTGCGCAAATGGGCCAGCAATCAGTCCGATCTCCTCTCCGACATCGAGCCCGATAATCACGGTCTCGCATGCAACAAACTCCTTCAAATCGACGAGCGACTGAGCATTCTCGGGTTATCGTGGAATCCGGCGCGCGATGTGTTTCAGTTCCATGTATCATTACCAGACTTAATTCCAACTACAAAACGCGCCGCGCTCTCGACCATTGCGAGATTGTTCGACCCCTTGGGCTGGGTAACTCCAGTCACAGTCGCGGCGAAGATATTTATTCAAAAACTCTGGCGATTGAAATACGGGTGGAACGAAGAATTGCCCGCGGATGTCATGACTCAATGGAGAACGATTTATTACAGTCTTTCCCATCTCAACGGGCTCGCACTCCCTCGGTGGTCGGGTTTCGGCTCCGATTCGACGCGCCTTGAGTTGCACGGGTTTGCAGACGCGTCCTCGTGCGCCTACGCGGCGGTCGTCTACATTCGAGTCACATCCCTCTACGGTGACACGACTACAACATTACTAGCCGGGAAATCGAAAGTTGCGCCGCTTAAGCCGATCAGCATACCGCGACTAGAGCTGTCAGCTGCGGTATTACTGTCACGTCTCATGAACTTCATAGCATCCTCACTTAAGCTCGAGCATGTACCATCCGTGTGCTGGTCGGATTCTACCGTAGTGTTAGCATGGCTCAACCAGGACCCTTCGAAATGGCGAACGTTTGTGACGCATCGAGTCTCGGCCGTGCAGGCTCTCGTACCCAAAGCATCATGGCGTCACGTACCGACACGCGACAATCCCGCGGATTGCGCCTCGCGGGGAATATTAGGGTCGGATATTGGCTCGAATGAATTGTGGTGAAAGGGACCGCCGTGGTTGCGTTTCGTGCCGACCGAGTGGCCGGCACCGTGGTCGGGCTCGTCTGTCGAAGCTCAAACAGAAGAACGCCACTATCAAATAGGGTCTACCAACGCGGCGGTTGTCCGGGACCACTGGGATCTCGCGTCGCGATTCTCAGACTGGCCGAAACTGATCCGAGTCACAGCGTACGTTAAGCGCTTTGTTAATCGATGTAAGGGGGGCTGCGAGTCCACACAGGACGACGCGACATCTTCGCGCGCATTATCAAGTACGGAATTTCAATCGGCCAAGACATTCTGGTTAAAGGAAATTCAACGTGAGACGTTCGCCGGCGAGCTGGCCGCTCTCAGCAGAGAACGGTCAGTGAGCGCACACAGCTCGGTTTCGTCCCTCACTCCCTTTCTCGACGGGGACGGATTAATGCGCGTTGGCGGGCGGTTGCGAAACGCCCCGTTGTCCTTCGACGAAAAGCATCCAGTGCTCCTCGCAAGCCATCCACTTGTAAATTTAATAGTTCGTCACGCGCATATTAAGACGCTCCATTCCGCATTAACTTTATCCACTCTAAGACAAGAGTACTGGATCCTAAGGGCAAGGACGATCGTTCGTTCCGTGATCCATCGTTGTGTCCCGTGCGCACGTGAAAGGGCCGAAATCCCGACGCAACTGATGGGCCAACTGCCGGAGCCGCGAGTCTCGGCACCTGCGCGACGTTTGTTCACTGCGGTGTCGATTATGCCGGACCCATAGCAGTCCGCACATCCTCAGGTCGCGGAGTTAAATCACGCAAGGCATATATAGCAATATTCGTTTGCTTCGCCACAAAAGCCGTACACTTAGAGCTCGTGAGCGGATACTCGACCGCCGCGTTTCTCGATGCCTATACCCGCTTCTGCGCTCGACGCGGTCTGCCGGGAGCTATGTATTCAGACAACGGGACGACGTTCACGGGCGCGGACCGGGAGCTCGCAAGGGCGTATCGAGCAGCAATGAAAGACACGAACTTCCAAAACCGAATTGTCTCTGAGAGAGTAGCGTGGCATTTCATTCCCCCTCGCGCCCCTCACTTCGGAGGGCTCTGGGAGGCTGGAGTGCGAAGTGTGAAACACCACTTGCGACGCACCGTGGGCGGTCACACGCTGACTTTCGAGGAGCTTACGACGCTCCTTTGCAAAATTGAGGCTTGCCTTAACTCCCGGCCCCTCGGGCCACTAACAGAGTCAATGAACGACTATGAGGCCCTAACACCAGGACACTTCATCATTGGTTCCGCACTCACGGTCAGCCCAGAGCCCTCCTTACTCCATCTAAACGAAAATCGTTTGTCAAGATGGCAGCTCATTCGACATATTACCGAAAAGTTCTGGCGACGGTGGCAGGTCGACTATGTAAATTGTCTCCAGCAAAGGGGAAAATGGCGTAAGGTAAACACCAATATCAAAATCGGCGCGATGGTTTTACTTCGCGAAACCGCCTTACCTCCATGCAAGTGGGAGTTGGGGCGAGTCGTACATTGTGACGCCGGCTCTGACGGACTGGTGCGCGTTGCGACGGTCAAAACTGCGAACTCCGAATACAAGCGCCCGATCGCGAAATTATGTTTGTTACCGATCGACATCGAGTCCACTGCAACTAACGCCGACCAAGCTGACCTCAAGACAAGCACCAAGACATCCTAATGTAAAAAAAAAAAACCTCACTCAGCTAAGCTCGCAACAAAATTTGGAACCGGGAGTTAACCCGCTCATTCAGTTGCGCCATGGCGGGCGGCTCCACCATAGCATTGCTCATCCTCATACGGCACGCGGCATTACCGGCGCCTCGTGGCCGCCTACAAGCATCTTCAAACTACAACTCTATCATTTCAAAACGGCCGTTTCGAGGCGGGCGGTATGTCGGAGCCCCGGTCAGGACTCCTGGTTCCCATCGATCACGGGACTACCGCCGGAGCATTGCGTGCTCCGCCGAGCGGTACTCCTCACCCGAAATCAGGAGCGCGCCGC